TTAATGTAATAAATGCCAGTCTTTTGACAGCTTGGGAAATGCAGTTTTCAGTTTTTAAACTGGGTTAAATCAACAGCTAATTCTTCATCTGTGAATTTAAAAAAAAACCCAACAACCAAACCACAAACAAACCGACAACTGATGGAGCCTAGAACTCAGCCTCATTATAGGCCAGTGTAGATGGGTTTCTCTCTATTGCATTGACTGGTCTTACACGATGGCATTTGGTGACTTCTTGTGCCAGGATATTTCGTTCCCTGTGAGGGAGCGTGGTTCTGTTGGCTTATGTGCACAGCCTTGTCGAGTCTGAGACTCCTAAAAAATAATTTCTTCTTTGCAGACCCGTCTGTTATACTAAGGCAGAAATTTCGAGACTCTCTGCATCACAAATTCGGAATCTTAATCCTGTGTTTGGCGGATCGGGACCAGCTCTTACAGGACTTCGTAATCTAGGGAACACTTGCTATATGAATTCCATATTACAGTGTCTGTGCAACGCACCTCACCTGGCCGATTATTTTAACAGAAACTTGTATCAGGATGATATTAACAGGTAACAATCTCTTATTCTCATCCTTTAATTTACCATTGAAGGAAAAAAATTTGCCTTTACAATTGTTAATTCAAAGAAGCGCTTAGTTAGGTTAAGGGGGGGTGTGTTTTTCTAAGTAGGAGACAAATGCTAACTTCTAAATGTTGACATTTTCAAAATTCACGTGTGTGACAAAATAGGTTTTACTGCAAAGGCTTAATTAAACTGTGCTTATGACATTATGAAATGTAAGTGTACTAGAGTCTCCTAAACCAAACAGAATATTTAAATAGCAGTTTACAAATAAGCTGGAAACAACTGTACCTTCCATCAGTCCAGCCTTGAATGTGGAACCAAATTACAGTGCCAAAGTAGACAAAAATTTTAACTCAGTCCAACAGCCAGTTTTTCTTGGTCTAAACAAATTACTTTGAAATTGGGATAATGTCTTCAGTTAATAACAATAATATTTAAAAGTTAAGTTTCAAGTTTAAGTTACTTGAATGACTCACTCTTTTTTTTTTTTTTTTTTTTTTTGTCTATTTAATTGTATAGGTCAAATTTCCTGGGGCATAAAGGTGAAGTGGCTGAAGAGTTTGGTGTAATAATGAAAGCTTTATGGACAGGACAGTATAAATATATCAGTCCAAAAGACTTTAAAATTACAATTGGGAAGATTAATGACCAATTTGCAGGATACAGCCAACAGGACTCGCAAGAATTGCTTCTCTTTCTAATGGATGGCTTGCATGAAGACCTAAATAAAGTAAGCAATACACTTGTAACAAATTATACATCTGTCAAATGATCGAGAGAAATAAATTTTAAAAAGACCTTCATATTTCATAAGAGGATTACATTACTGGAACCTTGTATAGAAGGAATTCAAGAATTGAAGTAGAATTTAGTTTGAAATATACAAGGTACTGAAGGGAGTAATGGAAAAAGCCTAACTAGATAAGAAAAAGATGGCTACACTGACATGTTTAAATATTCTTGCAAATGTTCAATAGCATGCTTGCCCATAGATGAAACTTTTTATTTTATATATGTTAATATATGGCTGTGATATTTAAACTTCTGCTATCCAGGCTGACAACAGGAAAAGATACAAGGAAGAAAACAATGATCATCTTGATGACTTCAGAGCAGCAGAACTAGCCTGGCACAAACACAAACAGCTCAATGAGTCCATTATTGTGGCACTTTTTCAAGGCCAGTTCAAGTCTACAGTGCAGTGTCTTACATGTCACAAGAAGTCCCGGACCTTTGAGGCTTTCATGTATTTGTCGTTACCGCTTGCATCTACTAGTAAATGTACACTGCAGGTACGCTGGCACTAGAGAAGTAAAAACATTTCTGTGACTTCATTATGATGTTGCTTCTGCTCAGCCTCTTGTTGAAGGGGGTGGTCAATATTCCAGCTTAATTTACAGTAACCTGAAAGATGAACAGATCTGAGCCTACTTTATTTTTTAATTCTTCTAAAGTTAAAAAAAATAGGTCATTCCTTAAAAGTTTCAAAGTACAAGCAGGATGGAAATATTTAAGCCACAGTAGCAGAAAAGACATGTATAGTATTTGGTTTTGTAAGTCATAATATAAATACTTTGTGGTTTTTAAACAAAATATTGTAGGTATATTTTGAAGGACTTGCAGCTAATTAATATACGCAGTAAAACTTACTTCCACAGATGGATGAAACATAGCACACAGATAATTGATGCAGGTTAACAACCAAATAGGAAACAAACATTTTTGCTACACTTTCTTAAACACCTGCCCGTCACAATCTGTGTTTGTATTTTGTTTTAGGAATGCCTTAGGTTGTTCTCCAAAGAGGAAAAGCTCACCGATAACAATAGATTTTACTGTAGCCATTGCAAAACTCGGAGGGATTCTCTGAAAAAGATAGAAATTTGGAAATTACCACCTGTTCTTCTTGTGCACTTGAAACGGTAAGGGAAACAGTGATGGGTGAAAATTAATTAGGGTGAAGTGATGAGGCCTTGATGGAGATTGACCCAGTGCAATAGCTAACCATGTTTAATTAGAGGAAGCTCTGGATGTATTTCCAGTTGTGGTGTTGCCAGAATTTTATTTTCATCTGACGCCTATTTTACTGGACGAAGCACTTTTACAAGTAACCTCTCTTCATTTGTGGTAGCAAACACATGTGCAGGCATTAACAGAATCTTTTCAAATGCTTCAGTTTAGATCACGTCCTGGTTAAAAGCAGGGGAAACAAACATGCTTAACATCCTTAAATAGCTTGTGAACAACCTGTAACTGATAATGATGTTTTTTAATTGTCTAGATTTTCCTATGATGGAAGATGGAAGCAAAAGCTTCAAACTTCTGTAGATTTCCCATTGGAAACTCTTGACCTTTCACAGTATGTTATTGGTCCAAAGAATAACTTGAAGAGATACAATCTGTTTTCAGTATCAGTAAGTAACCATGTCACATTTCAAAGTTCAGCTGGTCTTTATGCCAAGACTTGGGTTAGCCTGAGTGGCTCATCTAGGTTTCCAGGCTGCCTACCTGGTTGCAGATTAAGTTGCATTCTAAAAAGAATGATTGGTATTCCGTAAAAATCTCACATTCTAGTTTATTTCCCTAGCCAGGGAAGAGATGGCAGTTTCCGAGGCCATTAATTCTTTTCTTTTCCTCTTTCGTTTACAGAATCATTATGGCGGGTTGGATGGAGGGCACTATACAGCCTACTGCAAAAATGCTTCAAAACAACGCTGGTTTAAGTTTGACGACCATGAAGTATCTGAGATCTCAGCATCATCTGTGAAATCCTCAGCTGCATATATTCTCTTTTACACTTCTTATGAACAGCGAGCAGTGGATATGGCCACATAAAGTAGAGTGGGTTAAGAAAACTGGTTTTCTTTTTATAAGAGCAAAGTAGGTATGGGATTGCTATAAGTATGCAAAACTATGGCAAACATAGTCACTTACAGATAGGGGGATGGTTGCAGCAGCTTTTCGGCAAGCAAGCTCGCTCTGGTCAGTACTAGTGCTTAAAAATCAGAAGACTGATTAATAACGCTTGTGGTAATACTGCCATCTGTGAAACCATTTAAAAAGCATACTTGCATTACCATTTATTTAAAACCAACTATATTTTTAGTCTGTTACAAAATTAAATTCTAGCTTAGTCATCTGAAATCTATTAACAAGTAGTTGAAAATGTCTTAAAACCCCAAGGCATATCTCGATTTTTATTTTTTTCTTTCACTGTTATGGCCTTTTCACATTTCTAACCTTAAGCTTGATTCTACTGTGAATACTCTAGAATGATGTAAACAGTTAGGAATGTAAGTGTACATATTGATTGCATACTTGCACATCAGAACTATGTATATAATAAAATGTTGTCCTTTTTGTGAGAATCTCTAAAACTCAGAGGATTGTGTTTATTTGCCAGCTCTAAGTAATTGCAACACTACTTAATAAAAAAGCAGAGCTGTATTTTTTCTGTTAGCTTTTGTCAATATTTGTGCACTTCAGAGTTATTCTAAACAAACGAGATTTTTCCTTTTTAATTTTTTAATATAAATTTTCATGTACACATGCATTAAAAACCTTAATGAAGAAATGATTTAAAAATATATCCTGTTAAATGTATGTTTGGGTGTGGTGTTTTCCTTCTCAACTAGTTGTGTAATGGTCAGAATTCTAGTTAATGACAGCGTGAATCATATTCACACAGTTTAAAAGTTTTTTTCAGATGAAAAAAATACTAGTTTGTGTAGAACTGATTAGTTTAGAAACTATTTTAGTTGCATCTTACACGTTTCCCTGCTCTGCATTTGGGTTAGTTTTCCCTCTCTGATTAGGTTGGCATTCAAAAATCTTAAATGCTACATTTTGAGCTTTTCTCTGTCTACATGTGTGTGTCTTGGTGATAGAACTAAGACCAGGATTGATTGTGTTCCAGATGCTTACAAGCTGCAAACAAATCTGCAGTGCTAGAGGGACAAAAATGACAGTACTGGAATAGTGCCTTTTTCTTTCTGTTATATTAATGGTCACTTCTTCTCTGCTCGCTTCTGAAACGCATACCTTCGCTCGTCTGGTCGTGTGCTTTCGCCTTAGTATCCTACTGTCAGTTTCTGCATGGCAGCTTAAAACAACAATATATTTAACCAACAGAGAAACAGTAATTTTCAGGTAAGTGCATCATATGCTCAGCATTTGTGTTCTTTAGAGGGACGTATGGGGTTTGTCATGGAAAACAAGCAGTAGACCTTGTACAAATGGAACGGATGCACGTTCCTGAACAGGTGCAGAAGCTGTAACTCTTCTTTCCAGAAATTACTTCCTGAAAGACTGTGCCGGATCATCAGGTAATGCAAATGCTCTAGTTTATTGGTGAAACAGGACGTGGCTGATGCTGCCAGTGAATTCCAATTGCTGGCCTACTCACTGTTCATTTTCCACGGCTAGCAGATTTTTAAGGGGTGCATGGAAGTCCTTGACAGGTGTAGAATAGGAGATAAGCATTGCCAGTCTGCACCAAGGAATTTGGGATCTCAGTGATCTGCTCATCATCAAAGCTGTACCAGTTTTTGGTGACTGAGTGCTTGCAGAACGCCGTGTAGTGGCCATCATCCAGAAAACCAGAGTGGTTCTGTAACAAACAACAGAGCCTGTTAAAGCGGAAGGCTCGCTCTTTCTCCTTACAGGCAAAGCTAGGACGTGGCAATCATATTTTTTTTTGCACTTGGAAAAGATGGGAGAGAAGATTCTATCCCCATTTGGCCAGCAGCAAGGAATGTTAGTTCAAATAAATGCTTTGAAACAGAGCAAATAGATGATGATTATACTTCTCTGTTTTACAATAATAGATTTGCAACCCAGGTATTAGCGCTGACACGGGTCACTACAAGCAGGTCACACTTGCAGTGAGTGATAGAAAAAGAGACTGTTTAGTCCTTCCTTATGGGTGGGACCCGCACAGCTTCAGCTTGTGAGTTTATGCTGAAAAGGCTGAGGAGGCTCCAACCAGGCGTTACCAGCCCAGAGTGCACGTGTGGTAACATTGGGATGGCAGGGGAGGAGGAGAGAGAAGTGATGATGTCTCCTCTCTTCTTTAGTTACATACTGTTACCGCATTATCTCCATGGCAGGATTAAAAAAAAATAATTAAGACCATATATAAAAAATATAGATCATATGTATGAAGTCCAAGCTAACACCATCTTCATTAGCTCCGTGAGGCATTACAAATCAAAGCAGGAAAGGCAAAGCTCACCACTATCGCACACAGGCTGTACTCCGCGTGCTTGCACAAAGGTGGGGAAGTGTAAGGAGAGAGATCCAGGCTGCTGAGTGGATAGCAGATGTCGGTCAAGAGTTTCCCTTTGTGTTTGTCTTGCCATTCAAACCTGGAAAGGAATTTCGAACTATTTTAAATAACACTCACCTTCTTTCTTCTATTGTGGTGGTTGCTTAACTGACTTTCCTAGGGGAAGGGTAAAAAAATCAATTACCCAGTGTTTTGAAATGGAAAGATCTCTATTAACATCGATTATTAAACTGACAGAAAATGTCCTAAACCTGCAAGAGATGTCCAGCAAGAAAAGCAAAGATCTTGCTTCCTTGTCCTTCTGTCTATGAGAAATGTCAGAAGTCAAATCTCTGCATCTCTGTCACTGTGTCCTAAATGTTTTGGACTGTGCTGTTGTCAGCTCTTCTTTCATGCCAGGCTCCATCCTGCTTTCCTTTGTAACTTTTAGTACAATGCTGTACTTCTAAACTTTTATAACGCAGCCAAGGGCTGCAGCTGGGGACCACAAGTTCATTTGAGCATGTCAAGGAAAGCAGAAGCTGAATGGGCAATTAGATAACTTAACTCTGGGATGATTTGGCTTCCCAGGACTACGTTACATAATTTTCTTTATAGGTCGGAAGTTGTTAAGAATAAATTCCTGAGAATAAATCTGGCGTCTGGCCATGGGTGGCTAGTCAAGTCTGCTAGTCAGGAGCTCTTACCCTGATGCATTGCTCTGTTTAGTAGACCCAGTTGCTTAGACCTGATTTAGTTAAGAGATGAGATAGATAAACAAAAATACAGTGTCTCGGCTGCAATAATGACAAGCAGAATGCCCTGTTGCAGTCGCGCGCTGAGAACCCAAGTCACAAGCTCTCCCACTTGCCACAGGAACTCGCAGGGATGTCTGACTGTATGCAGAACCTCTGCACTAGTCTGTAGTCAGTCACTCCTCTGAGGAGATTTTTTCCCTTTGGAGAAGAGATCGCAAATGTAGTGAGTGAAATTTGTTGGGCTGGAGGACAGAGTAAGGCAGAACACCTTGTCTGAGATTTCAGGAATGCAACTTTTATGTTTGACAGGTGTATTTTTCTAACTGCCTATTTAGCTTCCGGGTATCAAAAGTTTTTAGCATCCATTTGCAGTGATTTTTTTCCCTATTATGCAAATCCAAGTGACTGTCCTTCTTGTCTCACAAATCCCTGGGAACGGCCATGTCCTACCCTATATCGACTGTACCTCTTTAGGTGAAAAATAACAATCTGCGGTGCCCTGGTTATGATGCTCTTTACCACAGCATCTTGTTTCATTCCACACCAGGAACAGTGGATTTGGTTGTTCCAAGTCAGTGTGTCTTGCTGAAAGAAGCATTTGAGACAGTCCTGTCAAAGAAAAATAATAACAACAATAATAATAAAATCATTTGATCAAACAGATCTCCACCCCTGAAGATCCTACGCAAGGTAAGAGAAGGTTTTGCCATATCTTGGAGCTTTCTTCCTAATGGAAGCATGACATAGCAAGGCTGAAATTGGAAATACGCTTGGAACAGAAAGCAGCCAACACTGGCTTCCTTTTTCCCCAAAAAAAATGAGGAAATACTTTGATGAGTGAAAGAAACCCTCCTGGTTGCTATTGAACAACCTTAATATCCCTCATCCCATGGCAACTCAGGAGTGTTGCTCCCATGACCTTACCAGCCTCTGCGGTCCAGAGAGCAGTGCAGAAACCCCACTTCTCTTTGGACCAGTTCAAAGACTATCCATTAGACATTAGTCTAAGCCACCTGTTCCCACACAGAGCAGAAACCAGCAGAAACGTACTAGAAATCGTACCTGCAGAGAGCACGCACTCTTAGAAGGGACGGGCAGGGAAAGAACGGTGAAGCTCTCGGGTCTCTTGGCGGTGGTCTTACATTCCAGACATGTGATCTCGTAACTGAGTTGGCCCTCAAATAGCTGTGTGATAATAGATGTTTCACTGACACTCCCTCTGCTTGCTTTTGCATCGGGTATGCATTGTCTTTTGCTTGACTATAGAGAAGAAAAGTTTAAAGAAATTGACAAAAAGTAGGTAACCAACTGTTTCAGAAGTGCCTTCTCTGGGTTTTAGTGGTCACTGCCCACTGCCTGTGTAGGTTCATACTTGCTGTCACAGAACTTGGCTCTAAACCGCTCTAAAATGCTATTACTTTACTTGATGTTTCATACATGCAGAGTAAGCTAAATTCCTTTTCTGAGAGAAATTAAACAAAAATGGAATATTCTGGACAGTAGATGGGAGTGATTTTATTGCTAGACAAGCTCTTTGTCAGTAGATCCAAAGAAGAGAAAGGCAGACATGGGGGCATGGCAGGCAAGATTTCAGGCAAACGAAAAAGGGGAAGAATGTAAAGCGTGGAAGGAGCAAGAAGAGGGACAGGTGAAGATAACGGAGCTACAGACAGCATTATCATTTAGATCAGGGCTGCAGTTTGATGGAGCATTAGACAAGAAGCAAATGAGTTACTGTGTGTAAGTGGGTATGAAATGAAGAAAATGACACTTTTTAGCAGCCACATCATGTAGTTCGGGAGAGGAGGATAGGCAGTTATTCCATGGAATGCTACATGATGAAATGCAAAGAAGAAACAGCTACAGTCCCCAAAAGCCACAGCTGGGCTCTTACCTTGAGAGCCTCATGGAGCTCATTCAGCACACAGATCAGAAACTCCTGCGCATCCTGCTGAGTCCTGTTCCTGAAGGCTGGGTACCGCTTCCCGAGGGCTGAATGAAAAACCTCTGGGGAAACACAGCCAAACTCTCCAAGCCACATGTCGGACATCAAACAGCCAAAGGCAGCCACAGACTGGCCATTCTCCCTTGGAAAAAATAAACATAAGTTTCAGGCAGAGTATGAAAAGTGGGTGGCTCCACCTTCAAATGGGAGCATAGTATATAAACCTAGAAAGTACCCGCAGGTACAGGAGGGCTCTGACACCCTGTCATTTGGTTTGAGGGACTCTGCAGATACTAGAAAGTAGCAGGAATCATCATTGAGACAGCAATGGTAGCAACTGGTACGATCATCAAAACAAAAAAAAAAAAAGAAGTATAACACTTAGTTACCCAGCAAGAAAAAATGACTCAGGGTCTCAGAGGAAGGAGACAGAAAGCAGCCTGTGGCCAGTTTGACTGCAACTGTCTGGTGGGGAGCTGGTAGGTGGCTGCCTCGGGACATCCTTGTGGCAACACGCATCCTTTGGGAGGAAAATGGCAGCACCAGGCAGAAAAATACAAGTAGTGTGAATAATCAGCTTACTTGTGTAGGGCTGCTTTGTACTTTCCTGAGAGGAAAAACTCCACAAGCGGTGACACGCTGCAGAGGCACTGCAAAATTGCATTCATGTAGCATGTGTTGCCCAGATTCCTCAGGCCAGTGAGCCCTGGGTGCCGCTTGTTCCTCTCTGCCATTGCTTCCGTGCAGGAATTCTTCACACCTTCCAAGCAAATGGAGTCATACTTGCACTTACTAGAAAAAAACCCACAACAGTGGAAATCTAAAATGCTACTGTGCTGTTTGTATTACGGCTTTTAGAAAGCGATACTGTCTTGAGGAGAGGTTTCCTGCTGTTTCAGGATCTTCTTTGTAAGTCACACTCATGTTTACTTTCATCAACCTAATACGGCGGTAAAGACTCTCTGTCTCCCACACGGAGCTCTTCCCAATACGTTGATATACATCATTAAGAGGTATTATTTAAATACCTGAGGTTTTAGAGTTATTTCTAAAATTCCACTTAGTCTTTGACTCCATACATAATTACTCAAAACGCATAACCAGCTGTAAATAGCTACCTTAAGCCCTTCTCCCTACAGAATGCATATTATATTTCATTTCCTCAGTGGTCTGGTACTTATGTATTTTCTAAAACCACAGGTTGCAGTCCAGATGCCACTATAAATGGGATGCTCTTCAGATTTTTTCTACAAAATGTTACTAAATTAATGCTAAGAAAATTTTAGTAGGTTTGTTTTCTTGCTACACAAGTCTGTCCTGGACCAAACTCTCCCCATCCCCAACTAGGCAGAAGTGAGGTCTGAACACGGACCCTGCACAACCCACACGCGCTCGCTGATGTTGAATTTTTAAAGGCTGTCACTTTATTCTGGTGCAGATGGAGGGAAAATTCTGAAACCTTAACAGTCTTTATAGAACAAGAAAAGCCATTCCTTTCCCTTTAGCTCAACACCACCTGCCGTGTCTGGAGACCTCCCAGGCCAACAGCCCTTTTCTATCATCTAATAGCTACAAAACAACTACAAAACTGCTTCCTTCTAAATTGCAGTAGAGCCAACATTTCCAAGCAGCTCTACCTATAGACTAGTATCCTACGAAAATGCTTAGTTCCATCTTTTACAGCCATGTCCAAGAAACGCCGACTCCGAGGAGAAAGCAAGTTGGGCCGCTTGCATATGGAAGATGGCCGGGAAGCCACTGGCCACCTGGCGGGGAGCCTGTGCTTGCCCCAGCTCAGGGGGGCTGCCTTTTGCCTGCTGCTCTTCGTACCATCACCTCTCCCGTTGGTTTTCATGGCATGACTGGCATGGTCCCACGTGTCTGTCCTGTCCCGTCCCCCCAGGCTCCCCTTGCCCCATGGCTTTGTGATGCTATGCTGTTCCATCTGTTCTTGTCCAGGAGAACGCGCCCAGCTCCACTTGTCTCCATCTCCTTCCTACACGCCACCCAAAGCAGCCTTGGGACGGGATGGGCACCCACCCCTTTCACCGGGCGGAGAGTTTCAGCCTGACTCGCCTTTATTCATGTTTCCTCCTACTTGTGTTAGCGGTCATTATTGCCGTGCTGTGACGGGAGGGCAGTGACGACTGAGGGCGTTGACCACAAACAGGTAGAATCACCTCAAAACATCACGCTGAATTAGTTCATTGATGTTTGGAAAATTTTCCTGAGGAAAAAAAAGTAGGGGCAGATAAGCGTCTTTTAATTAGCTAATGAGACAGGGTAGTTGATCTCTGAATTTCCTACACCACTGAAGAGCAGCAGTTTTTCCCCATTTAAGGTAAAATTTGGGAAGTAACAAGTATCCACAGAAGAGGCCCAGGAAGCCATTAAAGAAATCCCTGACTGTCTCACTTGTTAAGCTTCAAGCAAAGGACATCTCCCAGCTCTCTTCGGACAGCTTATCTGCTGCCCCTGTGACTCATCTCCCAAACTGTGTATCTGCAAACTGAGATATAAAAGCAACACACACACCTCCTTCTGCTGCGGTTTGGGCCGGACTGGCCACTGAGATGAACGACTATTCAAAATCTGATCTGCAACATTTTTGTAAATGGAACTATAATATTGTACATACTTTACCAAGAGTTTCAAATGTTTTAAAATCTAAATTATAATGCTGTGAGTTGAACCTAAAACTTTCAACCAATACGTACAGATGCCTGAATATGTACCAACATGTAAGTATATTCACATATGGGTTTTCTTCCGCCTTGAAATATTTGTTTAATTAAGTTTTGTTAATGAATCTCAACTAGCCAGGAATTCAATCCTTCCTCTTTCTGCAAACGTATTCAGTTCAAACATGCAAAATATGAGGTTGAAATGCAATGCACCTTCCCCTGCCGGGGCTGTGATTGTTTGTACGCAGACGGAGGTACTTTGTCAAAGGGCTACAGGGAAAACTGAGACAAGTACCTGTTGCAGGTTTCCCAGAAGGCGTGCTGCAGAGCAGCTGCGCTTCCTTGGTGTGCTTTGGATAACTGAAATCACCAGACACTGCCCTCACCCTCGTACCCTTACCTCTGAGCAGGTACAGATTGAAGCCTGCAATACATCTGTTGTCTGCACAGAAGTAAAGGGCTTCTGTAAATTCTCTGACAGCCTGTTTTGATGGAGCTTCCATTCTCATTCCTATGAGAGCATCTCCAATGTTTCTGTGATCCCAGAGCCCCCTGGCGTATTCCTGCAGCTCTTTGGGGGAAAACAAGTATCAATGAACTTCTAATAACATACACTAATGCAGAAATAAAATTCAAACAGGAATTAGGGCAGTTGCAACATTGGAGGAAATATCAAGAACAAGAACAGTGTGGAATCCACTTTACTTTATTGGAATTTAGCCACTTACTTAGATAAATTGAATTCAATGGGATGACTCTCCATATTTTCCCGATTTTATCTTCTTTTTGACAAAAACAGTCATGGTAAGCATCCATTCCTAGTTTGGGATACAGGGTACAATTCCAGCAGCTTGAGTTCTTCTTCTGGCTAATGATTTTTTGATGCTTTGTGTGATTTTTCTCAGTGTCTCCTTTATCCTTCATTTTAGAAGCTTTTCCAGTCTAAAAAAAACCCCAAGAAAAGTCAAAATCAAAATTGTAATATTTTGATGGCAGGATGTAGAGTTTCACATTTTGGTGGGGTAAGAAAGGGCTAAGGAGGCTTTCTGGCTTTGGGTCACCAGCTTACCTGTCATGTACTTATTAAATATTGCTTCAAAGAAAGAAAACCAATACTACAAATTGGTTTTATTCTTCTGTCTTCCCACGAACCATTTTTGTCACTGGCGAATGACACAGGTGCTTTTAGTACTCATCGCTTCGTGTTCCCAGTTGCTCATGGTACATCTTTTTTACCCCTGGTCTCTCACACGACTGGAAGATTTGATTGACAGAGCCATATCCCAGTTCCTGCTCTAAGCTGCTGCTCCCTTCCCACTGCCTGTTCCGGCCCAGGTGATGTCCACTCCAGTCTCCATACATGAGTGGAACAGGAGCCAGATGGCATTAGTTTTTAAGTCTTACTTAGAACAAATACCATATTTTCTACCATCGACTTAACAGAAGGACATACTGACTGCTACTCACGGGGGATGGAGGAAGTCAGGTGTTTCATGCAAGCTCGGGGAAAGGCTGAGCTACGGCTGCGGCGGAGGCTCAGGAACGGCCACAAACATCTGACTCGAAGAAACAAAATTCTAGCAAATTTCTGCAACAGATTTGCTCAGTTGCAGCAAGGGTGTGAGTCTAGAGAAACTCTTTTAGTCTAGAGAAAAGAAGATTGAGGGGGGATCTTATTAATGCTTACAAATACTTAGAGGGAGGGTGCCAGGGGGATGGGAGCAGTCTTTTTTCAGTGGTGCCCAGCGATAGGACGAGGGGTAACGGGCACAAGCTTGAACATAGGAAGTTCCATCGTAACATGAGGAGGAACTTCTTTACTTTGAGGGTAGCGGAGCACTGGCACAGGCTGCCCAGAGAGGTTGTGGAGTCTCCCACTCTGGAGACATTCAAAACCCGCCTGGACGCCGTCCTGTGCAACCTGCTGTAGGTGACCCTGCTCTGGCGGGGGGGTTGGACTAGATGATCTCCAGAGGTCCCTTCCAACCCTAACCATTCTGTGATTCTGTGAACAACGACGTTTCCTCCTGCCTAGCACCACCTTCCAAGGACAGGTTTTGTTCACGGTTAATTGCATTTTTGTGGAAACAAGAGAGAAGGATGCCAGTGGTTGCAATGGCCATTACTCACATCTGAAGAGGGAAAGCCTGAAGTTTCAGACTCAGAAAATAACCAGCTAGCCATTTTTCTTGACTTCAAAGCTCCCTGTAAGAAAGAGTTTTTCAGGTACTGTTCAAAAAACAGTATGTTGTAATCCTCCTCTTCCTGCCCTGAAACACCCCTCAGCAATTGTTGGGGCTTAGTTTCCACTTCTACTACCACTTACATCACTATCTGTATCTCATACTTTGCACAAACCCAACAATAAATACAGCAGCATCACACAAACACGGAAAACCACTGCCTGGAATATTTTTTTTTTTTTTTTAATTAGCTTCTGTGTAGTGCAACAACACATGCTGACATGTCTTCACCTTCTACATGGTTAAATAACACTGAGATATATTTCGTTATTACTAATGAAACTGTAATTAGCCCTGTACCCCGGCATATCTTACCTTTCCTGCCCCTTCATCTGGAATCTCCATGTCAGGAACTTGCACCTTGATTTTCTTGGCAAGCTCCTATTACTGGATGAAATACTCTCATCATCTGCTCAAAAAAAAAAAAAAAAAAAAAAGCACAAAAATAAACTACAATCCCCCAAAGGCTTAGCAGCTACAAACTGTTGACAAGCTTTACATTTACAGTGATGTATTTTCTAGAGTAATTTGCTGTACTTAAGTTTTGGCCCCACCATAGCTGATACGAAGGAACTGTATCTTGATTTCACTCCATTAGTGACAAGCATGAGCACAGCCAACTACTTCTTTAGAGAAAGAGCACCAAACAAGGTATGTTGGAAAACATACTGAGAACAGTAGACAGAAGAAAGGAACCCAGTAATTTGTTTTTGTTATAGAGGACAGGGAACAATGACACCTAAATACTGAAGAAAAAAAAGAAAAAAAAAACAGCCAACAATGCTAAATTTACTGGATTAATTAAAAGATTAAATTAGAGCACTCATATATGAGGTTTTTGCATAAAGAAATATTGATGCTGGAGGAAATTACAGTGCATTTTAAAAAAGAAGTTATATAAGTGAGCAACACTAGTCTACAAGTACATAATACTCAGTTTAATCTGTTATTCAATGGTTTTTCTTCTAATGAAAGTACCCCGAGTATGGTGGTAGGGCATCAAAACTATCTGTCAAGGAAAATAATGTAGCTTACCTATTTTCCTACATGAGATTCTTTAAATGCCCTTTTAGTAGGAAAGTCACTGAAGCATTTCAGAATTTTACTAAAAATAATTAGGGAAGGTTTGAATTCGTATTCCTGTATTTAAACATACAGGAATACAGGAAAATACAGGCTCTAACAAGACATGCTGATGTTTTGGTTTTGGATAGTTAACAGAGGTTCTAGTGCTGCTTCTACTTTTCTCCTCCTCAGTAATCTAAAGGAAATTTAAAAGCTGAAGGATCATAACTCTTCTCTATTCATAGAGCAGTTCAAGAGCGATGAGGCTTCAGCAGTGAACGCTTGCTGTTCTCAACCGCATTAAATTACATGGGGTAATCTTCATGTTCCTGCAGCCTGACAGCAACAGGACGCGGTATTATCCTAACATAGTCAGTCTATTTCTGCAAACCAACTTGTTAATTTTTTCTTTGCCACCACACCTTTCCAATGCCTTCCCTGAAGAATACTTACATTTATGATTCTTTTCCGCTAGTGTGAGGAAGATAATTTGTGAAAGTTGTAATGCCCACTCCCCTTACAATGTAGACACAGGCTTCTCATACAATCCTGGCCGTACGTCTCACAGAGTAAGCTAGCACTCATGCCAGGAAGACGTACATAAATTTGTACCATATTAACCGCTCCAAGTCTTCCGTACATTCCCCAACCCTACCTGTCTCCTTTGGTCTTGGAAGGGCTTCAGGCCCTAGTCACTGCAACGCTCCCCATGATCACACACACCCATCACAAAAGGCGCATCTATTCATTTTGCTAAGAAATAAAGGCAAAACCAATGCAGACAGGTATCACAGTTGTAGAAATTAACTGTGTGTTGTTAAGTATTTGTCAGGAAACAAAAAGTTTCCTGTAGGTTGTAGAAATTAACTGTGTGTTGTTTTGTCAGGAAACAAAAAGTTTCCTGTAATTTATTGACAATTTTCCCAAAACAGTTTTCTTATTTCATACACTGAATTTGGTCCATTTTCACAACATCTGAGGCTCCCCTAGAAATCCCTCTCAATCTGAAGAGCCAGCCTCACTTACAGATTAACTGTTGCTGTTACTTGGTTATGAATATAGCATTAAAAATGTGCAAGTACATCTTGAATAACTGCCCATTACCTCACAGCAACAGAAGGGGACGCAGTCAGGCATCCATGAAGCAGTTCCTAATTCGAAACAAACATTGTAAAGAGCTTTAAAATAGTTTTGTCTCGTTTACTCCTTAACCCCATCACATATGTTTGTCTACTATAAGAGTTTTCACTCCCCCCGCCCAGTTTCTGGTGTTAGTGAAAGCTGAGATACCTCAAAGGCAGGCAACTGCTTTGATCCAGCATGGCAAATTCTACCTTTCCGCATAAAGAGTTATTTAAATTCACCCAAATAATGGTTCAGACTAAGATGGACAACAGAAGTCTGTAAACAAGAATAAATTTATTTTAGATTCTTTAAAGATTTAATGATATACAAAATGTATACAGTATTATATCCTTATAACATTTTACCTTTCCCCGTCAAACATAAAACACCATTTAAACAGCTATTGTGTTCGTGCCTTAGGTCTGTATCTATAAGATACACTACTGAATAAAAAAATTTATAGAGCTATATACTGCCCTTTTAATTAAAAATTACAAATTAGTACCTATGTAACAAAAGAATCGCAGCATGAAACTTCAGTTGGACAACAGGTTTTTTTCTTGCTGAATGCTCAACAATATTTGGGACTGTTAAATTAGATTTTATTGGCATGAAGGTGCATTGCAATCTCCCGTACTTTACATAATGCTAATCCAACCCTAGTCTCTCTTAAATAAGTACCACAAATAACATAACATTAAAGATGTTATCTACACAATTTTAAATACATTTAAAAGTTATGTGTACATTCGGTTTTGATATACTGGTTTTACGAGATCTTTGGAAGGCATAACTTCTGAAGCAGTCACTACATACGAGGAAAAGCACTTCCAACTTGTGTTCTTACAAGGCAACTTATTTGGACCAGTACATACTATTTCTTCTATTAAATACAATTATACCAGTCTATCATGGCTTTGTTACTATTTGACGGTGACTTCATAAAATTGAAATGTATAAAACAAGAAATTTCATTACGCACAATTAGGGCTCTATTCGACAAAAACCCCCAGCTTTACAGCCATGAAGCTGAATCCTGATTCAGGAGACACTCTCTCTCTCTATTGGAACAGATCAAGTTCCTACCTTCAACCTCAGCCTACTGGCATTATATGTACACCTCATTTGGCTCTGTCCTCTTCAAAAGGCCAGTTTAAAAGACACCTGGTGAGAAAAGATTAGTGGAACACTTCCAAAAACGCTCAAGGAATACTCTGGCATTACAGAGGTAGGTGCTTTCTCCTGTCTTTTGCTGATTGACAGTACGACAGCTGCCAAACAGACAATTGCTTCACCTTAAAACATCGACTACCAAAATCCTTTTGGTTGAAGGCATATTGCACACCACAGGACTACAGAGAGAAAATCCTCCACTAAACCAAAACAAAATAAAAAATAAACCTTCTGCTAAAAATCTCCTTTACAAACATAACTTACATACTTCTCGTTATTCAACCTTTAAAGTGATGAGCCGCTAAGATGTTCTCTGTAGATGGTTACCACAAGTTGTTAGGCCCTTAAATTATGGACCAGCCAAAATGCCACTTATAAGACAGCAATCCTTGTTTTGACATATCTTTCTTTTAATTACTGAAGGAAAGATAAGTGACAACTTCGTGACATTCCATGAAGTTTGGATGAAGCCACTGATTTGGTCACATCATTAGAGCATCAGACGAATAGAATTAGCTGAATCGGATTCTTTGGTGCAGCTTCCAGGCTGAATTGTCAATTCAGGGGAATCATCCTGAGGAAATATGATCTTGTCAGGTGTGTAATCATTCCTCTTCAGATCTGCACAAACAAAAGGAAGTCATATTGATTAATATTTCTTGAGGTAGTAGAATCAATGGGGCATAAAAGTCTTTCAAAGAACTGGGTATGTATATGCACTTCTGAAGAATTCCTCAATATGCACTGTGTCAAAAAGGATGTTTTTATCATACATGTCATCAGAAGCCTAAAGCTCTGCTTTAAAAAGTGATGGAAACCTCAGAATTATATTATTTCTAGATATTATAGCAAGTATTGAGTCAACTAGAAACTGCATCCCTCCATGATCTGCTTTGATGTTACCAGGATTTACAACTCAAATTCAAAATAAACGACCTCTCTTCATGTGAGAAACAAGCTGGAAGAGAAGTGTGAAACACGCAGGAATCATACAAGTTCCTGATGTTGTTCTGCTCGAATTTAAAAGCCCGATACAGAGAAACAATTTCAAGGTTTGAGCGGAGTAGTGTAGTCCATGCAGCAGAAATATCTGGAATTGAAAGGTTTTAACAGAATAAATTTCTGCAGACGTGGTTTTAAAAACAGAACAAAAACCTAAACAACAAAAAACAAACACCAAAAATAAACAAACACTCCCCCCAGTAAAGAACAACAAAACACCCCAAAACACACACAAGCACCATTTTGTTTAAAAAGCCTGAAGGTTTGCAATCATCTTGACCTGCTTTTACTATTTTTTCTAGGAATCTTTATCATTTCTTTACGGTACCTTTTGAACTCTTGATCACTCTAGTCTACCATCCTCAAATACTGTCCATATGGATATAGAACACACAGACGTTCTTAATTCCTTCATCTGGACTTTTATCTTAAAATGCTATATTGTTTTAAAAGTAAAATTAAAAACCTGCTGTTTATTACTTATTCCACTTTCACCGCATGACATAACTATTTCATTAGGTATCTGTCCTGGTTTGAGCAACAAAGGATTAATTTATCTTTCAGTAATTTTACTTTGCAGTAAAGTCTCTTCTAATGCTTGGGAAAACTGTTCTTTTAGAAGACTCTAGCGTCTGAATTTGTGAAAATCTTTACTTCATAGCCAGCCATGGTATGTGGGTTTCAAGGTCTCAGTATTTTTGAGCTTGCCAGGTGCAGGGATAAGGAGGAGCGAGACCCGGGCATTTGCCCCAAGCTGGCCAACAGGATTATTTCATACCACGAATGTCACATTCAATATAAATTAGGAAGTTTGCTGAGGAGTTCTCTCTCTCCCTTGATGGCTGCCATCCTGAGAACTTCGTGCCCTGCTGCCAGACCCCTCAGCCCTTCCCTTCCTCCCGAAGCCGTAGCACTCACAGTGTCCGACATTTGCTGTCCACTGCTGGGAGTGCACAGCTCCCTACTGATATAATTGGCTGAGTATAATCCTCGTATATTTTATATTTGTATCAATACTGGTTCTTTAGTGTTATTAATGTCAATTATTTAGTCTTATTCTATTAAATCTGTTTATATTTCAACCCTTGGGTTTCCTTGTTTTTCCTGATTCCCCCTCCCGGGTGGGGAGGGGTCATCCGGTGATAGAATAATTGTCTAAATGACAATAAAGTATTGTGGGTTCCTCAAACCGTAACAGTATCATACAACACTTCCTAACATGAGTGTCTCAGAGGAAGAAATACAGCAACCCTCACCTGGAAGTTTAAGTTTCCTGCAGCATGAATTACAGTGATGCTTCGCTCTGAAGTTTTTTATTGCATCCTCTCCCAGATTGGCTGGACCGAACACCATATCATATGACCTTAGAAATAAAGTGCACATAAACATGGGTTGTATGTGTTCTGTGATGAAAACTTCGTAATACTTTTCTTTAAATCCTTCTTTAACCTTACCTTTTTTCTCCAGCTTTTATCACAGAGGGATCTGTCAAATTTTCACCAACACCTTCAAACAGCAGATGAAGAAAAAGTTAAATCTGATACATTACATAAAGGCATTAATATTGAAAAGCCTTGGCATCCTTAGCTGCGACTTCTCAGCTTCGTCAAGAATAAAAGTAGAAAAAACCCCCACCCTAAACCCAAAAAACAACCCAAATGATATGCGATGCTCTACCCTTATAAAAATTGCTCCTAAATAAGCACTTTGTACTTGTCAGATTTCTTCCACCTATTTTTACATCTGCCTGCAATTCCTAACTTTAGTTTTCACCCACAAGAAAGAAGCTTCCTATAGAGTTCTCACAGCCAAAATATGTGACACACAATTCCGCATAAGTACAGCCTACCATATTGGCACTACACAAATTTCTTATAGGGCATATCTTTAGGAAAAGATGTATATATTTATATTCTATTCTACTATTTTCTAGTATATTATACTTTTTAATTATTATTTTATTATACATTATGTTTTATACTGTATTATATTATTTATATTCTATTATACTAAAAGAGGGTAGAATTTAGACTAGATATAAAGGAAGAAATTTTTTACAATGAGGGTGGTGAAACACTGGCCCAGGTTGCCCAGAGAGGTGGTAGATGCCCCATCCCTGGAGACATTCAAGGTCAGGTTGGACAGAGCTCTGAGCAACCTGATCTAGTTGAAGATGTCCCTGCTCATTGCAGGGGAGTTGGACTAGATGACCTTTAAAGGTTGCTTTCCACCCAAACTATTCTGTGATTCTACAACATTCCCTGTGTTGCTGTAAGATTTAATGCATAAGCATATTAAATAAGACAACCATAGATTCAGATTAATTATACCAACATGCACTAAATAATGCTTGTTATTTATTACAGGCATATGAATTCTTAATAAAACGCTATCACAAGAGAAGAACACACATACATCTACCTTGGTTCCAATCCCAATTCCAAAACAAGGATATTACCTTGCAAATCTAGTACCAACAGTTCTCCTCTTGTATACTCATACGTCCAATGGCTGAAAGCTAGCATAACCTCCTCTAGCATGTTAGTTGGAATTATTTCATCACCATTATTGTTGTTGTATTTTCTAAACTCTCCAGTCATGCACTCTTCAACTGCAAACCACTGGCCAGCAGAGTGGCAATATAACAGGAAAACTTCCAGGAACCTAGTACAAGGCATACTTAATGAATATAGTTCAAAAATACATTACAAATACATCATTACAACTAGATTTTTATTTGATTTACTACTAATTAAAGTAATTTGAAACTATTATACAAAGTCATTTATATTATCACACTTGACTAGAATTGGTGCAAAAAGTATCAACAGAAAATACTGCTAAGGATAATTCCGCTTGACGTATTTAGAGCAATGTTCCGTGATGTATGTTCACAGATCAGTACCTTAATACATTTGGTCTATCTGTTAACAACCCTGTAGGCATTATTCTATATCAAAAGCATGCAACATACCAGAAGTTTAAATAGACTCACCTCGGAGAGTATGGAATAGATTTGGGCTTCATTTGATTGAAAGCAAAGGTGAGCTTCTGTGCTGCCCTCTGCTGTTGAATTTCCTACAAGTCAAAGCCCGTATTTCATTAGTTGCATTGTATGACAGGGAACGCTAAGGAGTCAAAAAGGCAGCAGGAAGAGTAAGGGTCTATACCCCCCAAGACAGGGTAACTAATTACTTGCTTTTAAAATTATGTTTACATTTTGAGATCTTTGATTAAGTAAACCATACCGAAGCAGGATTTTTAATTGTTTAGCTCACAGAGAACCCCAGACTAACACTTTTTTCTTTTTTTGGTAAGTATATACAAGGTGTTGTTTTTTTCTTTTTTTGGGGGGCGGGGGGAATCCCATTTAACATACAACGCCTGTCTATGTTTAATAATTGACAAGGATAAAACTTACTCTCAAGCACAAGTGTAACACTGTGTCCTCCTTATAAATGCTTGACCAAGTATTCACAACTTCAGGAAGAAAAGATTTGATGATATAAAGATGTCCCGATTTCAGGATATCATATTCCGACCACGTGCATACTACTTTAAGAGCTCGACGTAAACCTCCTCCCATCTCCTCTTTACTTAAAAATTCAATTTTAGCACAGAGTCCTAGTTGTGACCAGGAAGACATGCTGTTGTTCAAGATGCTGGGAGAACTTTCTTCAAGGCGATATACAGTGACTGGTTCACCTACATTACAATACAAAAAGCAATTACTGCATTTAGTTTTTCAAATTTAAAATTAAAAGCACTGAAAACCTACAGTTTCTTAGATTTCAACATGCTGCAATATTAAGTTGTTACTAACATCCTGAATTAACAAAAATTTAAACACTTAAGCATTTAAATTACCCAGTGGGAAGACCCCTCTCCAACCTCTTTAATACAGCAGCAAAGTAGTACAACGGTTTTGTCATCCTAATTAGAACTATTAATGACACTGTTCAAACAGCATTAAGAACATTTTGAATAAAAGTGTGTTTACACTTCATATGAGTCAAGACAACTTAAAGGAATCCTTCCAGAATAGTTTGTTACAAAAACTGTTAGTACAACACTATGATACCCATATCACCATTTCCAAAGACAACTACAATCTAGATTTCATAATCAAGTGAGCTGCCCTAGAAAAGGTGTCATACTTATTTATACTTTTGACTGTTGCAAGACAGACTCTAGACTTCTTTTAGTTCACTAAAACTTTAGTTTCACACTTGCTGTGTGCAAGTGTGAAATTTGGCTTGATCATTCTACATTAGAGGGAAATCTGTACAGGGTTTACTTTTATTCTCTTCCCCAGAAGACCATAGTGAACCAGCAATAAGAAGTACAATTCTTACCTCTTGGAGGCACAGGAGTAAACGGAATGCTCTGTGATAATCTCATCAAGTTATTTCTTTCTACAGCTAGAGGAAAATTACAGCATTTGTTAAAGTTTAAGGATCTACTAAGTGTCATTAAAAATATGAGCATTAGTTCATAAGAGAGACTGACCTGAGTAATAGTAATTGATATCCATAATAGGCTTGAAAGGAGAAGCAATGCCTGAAAGAGAAAAAAAAAAAAAAAAAAAAAAAAAAGATCCCCCCTGCTATGCGTATTGTGTATTAAAATTACCACATGCAAAGAACACTTGCCAAGTAACTAGAGTTTGAAAAAGATTTGCTGTGCAGAAAATTAAGTATCATGCTTAGCTCTTCAGTACCTCAAGGGGAAAAAAAATAAATAAAAGTTTTAGTGCTCAATGGTAGGCTATTTATTTCAAAAAAACAAAAAAACAAAAAACCCCCAAACCCACACTATTATGTGTCCATTGAGTTCCAACATACCAGTAGTTAAATATATTCTCATACAAGACCCAAAGAGTTGTTTATATGAAAAGCTCCCAGCTTGTTTACAGCAGAAAAAAACTTACCATTCAATGCATCTTCTTCAGATGGCCTGTGAAATGCCACAAAACCAACAGTCAGTGCTTCTTAAAAAACTTATTTTGTATTCACCGATTTTGACACATCGTCCTAGGTCACCTTGTTAACCTCACAGTACTGCTTTTATCCTATTTTTTCAAGGGCAGTACAGGTTTCTTAATTACAAAACACTAATGGAAGGCTGTTAAGTAATCTCATTTTTTAGAGCTATACTTTAAATACCACCAAGTCACGCACAACATTATGTAAAGTTTGCATCACAAGAGCTCATTCCCACAGAGGTGCTTTAATTAAAACTTGTTCACAACAGCTTACCCTTCTGTTATCAGATTAATAAGGTAATGGCTTTAACAGTTAACTCAGGGGAATAATTGTTAACAGGAGCAATGTCTGCACAATTTCAGAGAAGGTTTACAGTTTGAAAGATTGGGTAAAGACCTTTACCAGGAAGCTGGGTCCTTAATAAGTGTCAACACAGTCATTTTCATTTAAGGGCATGTTTTGCCCTCTGACATGTGACCCCATTAATCTAAATGGAACCTGTCAAAGCATTCCAGTGAACACATTCAGTTATTTATTAGAAAAAAAACCCTTAAATCTTGTTTTTTCATTAAACACAACCGAATATCACTATAGCCAAAGACAACAACCAAAAAGAAAAACAAATCGAAATACAGAGTAACAAAATTGCTCCATTAGTAGAAAGCTTACTTACATTTGACCGCTATTCGAAGGTCTGCCTTGCAACCAATCCTTTAAAACAGAAGAGAGGAAAAACAAAGAAGGTTTCAGTTTTGTAAGGAAAACTGGATGTGGGGTGGTAATGTATTTTAAGATCTTGCAGTACAGCCTGTTTATAGGAAATACTTCACCAGGCTGTACTGAACTGCAGTTCAATGGAAAGACTCAAATACAACTGAGGAATGGTAATCGCAGTTAGAAGAATAGATAAGGCTATATATTCCCTACTGTTTTATGGATTATATAAATAATTCTTTTCTTAAACAAAAAGTTGAGGTTTTTGCCATACATGGGAAGCAGCATATGTTTTCATAGTGAGAATATGCACAGTATGCAGTAGAGAACGCGCACAACTTCTTCCCTCCATCAAAATAGGTCCCCTTCTGTTCCCTCCTTGAACAAATGAGTTCACAAATCAGTATTACTCTTTACACAATCTGTTTCATCTCCTTTATTTGTTCACAGTTTCTAGTTCTGCTTAACAACAACCAAAAAGGAGGGTACAAACCGTCAGTAAGGCTGCTTTAGAGTCTACTTGCTGAGTATCTTCACTCGATGCTCTTCTACTCTTGCTGTATACTGTGAATGAAAAAGACTCATGACTGGACAAAGAACAGTATGTGTCATTGCCACTTACCTGTTTTCTAATAGAGCGTGTAACTAGGCAGCTTAATGCAGCTCTCCTAAAATAGCCTGCTCTGCAACTATCTGATTTTTACAAGTTTCCAGCACAGTCCTGACTAGAACACTCAGCTTTTTATGGTGCTAGCTATCTGCAGCAAATAACAGAATTAAGCTTCATGACTAGAAGAATAACGACACAGGAACAGACTCAAGTAGCAACAATCACAAAAACATTTCAAGATGATTTACCTCTTTGTGTTTCCTTTGTATCTTCTTAGATTATGCATTATCAATATAATTCAGAGATAAAATCAGGTCACTTGAAAAGACAACACACTTACATTGTTCTGAATGTACTGCCAGAGGGTCAGTAAACCCGCCGCAAGAACTAGACTGTCTTAGACCACAGTCAGTTTGAAGACCCTACAAAAAAAATACACATATCATTAGTCACCATTATAATTGTTTTCAACTAGTACTATTTTGGCACAGTCTGCCCAGTTTTCTTTTCCAGGACTATGTAGGATGCGCTTTTTTTTTTCCCCCTGGATGTATCTCAAACACCTTGCTGCACAAAAACGTCCCAATTTGAGTGCATAATTCAGTTAAAATGCTCTTCACAGTAACCATCAGCTCTAACATTTTCAGGTGCACATTAAGACTGTTGACCCATACTGAAACAGTTCTTTTAAAGAGAATGTTACAATAGGATACAACTACAGAAATGTACATTACACTGCATCTCTAGAAGCACCAAGTTCAGCTGTTCTGTCACGTGCTTTTGTTAACTGTCAATTTTCATTTAAGAACTTGGCTCTGGCAGAAACTAAAGTTCAGCTTGAACCCACTGAAAATAGAAAAAAAACCTGAGAGGTCTTGCTACATAAACCCCTACAGTTTATGAATCAATTTTCCTCATTAACTTATTCCATAATAATAATTACATACTTTCTGAATATCAACCAAGATGGTCTGCTTTTGACAACAAAATATTTCTTTTGTAAAACACAAGGAAGGCAGTTTCATAACAAACTAGACCTACATGTGGACTGGCATAGGGCTGGAACATTCCTCACAACCAGCCTATTAATTCCAACGGTTACCTGAATAAAATGCAAAAATTCAAGATTTTGAAGAATAAAAAAACTAGAACTTGGAATGCTATGCCCTGCTTTGATTCCAAGATTTGTAACTTAGGAAATTGTTACTGCTCTTTTTCACCCTTCTCTCTTAAGGAATACACACACCCCCCATACCTAAACATATACACACAAGCACATATGTGTGTCCAAAATGTGTGTGTATGTAAGTGTGTATATATTTCTTTACATCCCCTTTACATGTTGGATTGCAACACAAAGAATGCACCTTCTGAAAGTGTCTTCTGAAGACCCATTTTTAGGTCTATATGCATTTCAGCGTTCAGCATACATCTTCAGCATCTTGCAATCAATGACTGTAGGGCCTACATGAAAGGTAAGAATCAAACCAGTCCCACCAGTTAAGATGGGACAACTGTATTACTAACTGCTTAAAAACAGTGGTACTGACTGAAGTTTGCACCCCAGTAGTACCAAACGCTGGAACTATTTAGACCTACATCAAGGAGACATCCAGCTGTATATGTACAAAGGTTCAAGAGTGCAGCTTTTTTTTTTTTTTCTTCTTCTTTTTAAATCGTGACCAGGGTTTACTTACAGATAATGATATAAGAAAACAAAGTTCCCTGTCTTTGCTGTAAAGAATATATTTAGCATCTGGTGAAAATAACGCCTCTTATAAATGGAAACTTTCTTTACTTACTTGAAGCCTGGTTGTCTCTATGCCCTCCAATATAGCTTTTTTGAAGTCTTCCTGTTGCTCCTACAAAAACCCAAAGCAAATTGTAAACTTATTACCAAAAAACCCATGCCAAAAGTACACACACATAAAAAGCTTTTTGGTCACACATTATACTTATCAGAAGGTCCAGAAGGAGCAACTCAGCAGAACACTGACATTGCAAATGGTCAAAATGCAATTCTCAAGTCAGATTCTCCCCTGAACGAGGGTAACTGCAAACGGTAACTTGTATTTACTAACTTGTCTTAACAGCTACAGTGAGAAAACTAGCTTTTTTTTTTATATGTACTATAGCACTTGAGGGACAGGTTTGCTACAATCACATTCCTAATCACTTTCCATTTAGTTATTTTTTTATTCTATAAGTGAATAAAAACTAGAGAACATTTTAGTTTATGAGAAATTTATTAGAAAGGCTTTCTCTTTTTGGAAGCATAATGAACAATTTTTGTCACTCCTTAAAGTCATATACTCATCTTGCTCTATAAAATATCATGTAGATCACTGAAATCTTCCTAAATGCTGACCTTGAAATTTATGAGTGTTAAATGTTTCATTAAACACTAATTACAGGATACATAATTTTATCTTAATTCACAGCTGTAGTCATCTCAGCTTTCCTAACCTCAGATCTTGTTTCATATTTCATTAGTATCATATTATGAAACAACAATACTTGATGTATAGTTAAGGTTGCATGAGTTTTCACTAGATTATTTTTTTTAAAACCATAAAGCAGATACTCATTCCTCCCAGGCTGCATTTTGCAAGTTCTTTGATTTTATTTCCTCTTAGACTTTTTCAAAACAGTTACAGTTAAAAAATAATCCCCATTAACAGTCCTTCATGCTTACCTCAATATCAGCACTTCTTTCTTTAATTTTGCTTGCTGCCTCTTTAAACCGCTGTAACTCCATGCTGTCTCTGTGACCTTTGACACAGTGAATTGAAAAACAGTATTCAAAATCAAAGGCAACCTCCAATGTTCTGACCACGCCGACAGTTTGCATCACCACAGCAAAGGGTTACAAACCATCTAAGTTCTGCGTGCCTGTTTGCACTAGAGAAGACTTTCCAAACACACTAAAGTAAAAATCAGTGTAACAAAACACTAATATGAAACTATTGCTTTTCCCACATTAAGGCATGGATTACCACAATTCAAAAAGTAAAACTAACATTTTGAAATTTTACTCAAGCATATGCTCCTCACAGGAAAGGAACAGGGCAGTTTGAATTACAGTATTTTTATGTACGTAATGGCAAATGAAGGAAAAGCAGACAGTTTTCTTGGGGTAGCTTTTACAATATACCCTTCATCCTCCCAGTTGCAAGAAATACTTTTCAGAATTTTACCAAGCATGTGGCTTCATAATAAATGAAAATCTACTTGGCTTCACAATGGAAAGCTGCACTGTATCACCAGTTTTATAAAATGTTGACAGTAAGAATGAAGAGTATGTTCTAAATGCCAGAGATGTCAGAGGATCGTACACTAAAAATTTGGCTCCAGTAAAATAAGTATAGTTAGTATTCAAAGTTATTAGTGGTGAAGTACCTTTAAAGATTAGTTATACAATCGCTGTCCATTGTTTATCTGTTTAGTCTTGCTTTCTTAATTTAAAAAAGTTTTCGTTTTTTAAACCATGAGGAAATTACAAACAAATAGCTAGTGAGTGTACAAACGTGTAGATACTCTTCCTACACATACACAAATCTAAAAAAGCTAGTGCATGTAAGTAACTTCTTAGAACTCCAAGTTTCACAGCAGTAGAATTAACTCTTGTCTAAAGATCTAAATTTTTACATCCTCAACAAACCTTTGGAAAACACTGAAACAACCCTGAACAACTGGGGCAAGACAAGACCTCTGCAGGCATTCTGACGATTCCAGATTGTAATCTTCTGCTATATGCCAAGCGTACTTACAGCATTATCTACTTTACAGAAATCAGTTAGTAAACCCACACCTGTGTTTTGCAATGAATCTGCCACTGTTTTACTGTTCAAATATGTAAGTAACTCTAACCAAAATCGTGCACCTTTTTTACTGTTAAGCAAAACTGGAGGGGAGGTATAATGCTGCATTTAATAAAAGGACTTTGGAAGCTTCCAAAATGACTGTCAAAAGATACATTAGCCTAGGCAACAGTGGAAGATCCCAGCTATAAGAGTGTTTAGAAACATAGTATAGGAGGATCCCTCAGCTCAACACAGATACCACAAAGATATTTGTCCAGGATTCCATCAGCCTAAGAAGTCTTCTGTAATTACGTCAAGAAATAGACAATATTTTTAATTTACGCAATGAGAAGGTAGGAGCTTTATCATGAGTCACAAAAAGTTTGTCTACAATGCCCGTACCAAGTTGTAGAGCTAAAACTGCTTTACTCAACAACTGGCTAATGTTTTTCAGAAAAATATTGTCTATGTGACAGAATTATAAAGAAATGATAATTTAAGTAAAAAAAATAGGGAAATTAGAGATGTTAAAAGCAAAAAAAAGCAGAGCAAAATGGGAGAATAAAGTCACCTGAAACCGGAATACACCCAAAATACTGTACAATTCTTGATAAGTCAAACCTTGTGGCTTAGATTTGGTCCACAGTTTATGAAGCAGTCCCATAAGGATGTTAGAACATAAATCTTGGTTTTGTAGTTCCATTGCATGGACATGCTGACTTTTGGAAAGTTCATCTTTAATATTCAATTTTCCATGTGAGCCGCCACAGTTGACTGTTGACGTCAAGTCGCCAGTTGACAAAGAGAACTTCGTTTGGGGGTTGTTCTTCGATAAGTTGACAGAGGACTGGTGATCACATTTGTCAACTCTGCAGCTGTAGTTATCATTAGTGTCACTCTCATCATGAATAAAACCACAATTAATGTATCCTCCATTTTCAACACAAGGTTGGGTGAAAGCAAGGCAAGCAGAGCCAGAAGCAAGAGGATAAGAGCAGCTAATAATGACTTCAGGACATTCAGAATCTACTTTGTTATACTTACCCACAAATGCACCAAATTCTACATTATTATCTCCTTCTGTAGCCTTAGAGAAAACAGTCTCTTCATGCTTTGCTGAAGAATCCAGCTGACTTTTGCAACTGGGCCGAGATGGAGTGCTAACAAAAAATTTAGCAGTTGGGGATGTTACGTGTGGCATGCTGTTGGATGAATTGCCTAATTTTTTACTTTTACTAACAGATTTTGAGATCTCTGCAGCCTGTATTCGTTGGCGAAGTTCTGGAGGGGAAACAGCATTTGAAAATAAGGCACTGCCTGAGGAACCTGCCTCTTGAAAGTTTATTTCTTCTCTTCGGGGAACTGGAGCTAACTCCTGACCAATTGTCTTATGTTGGACTTCTTTTTCATCACGTATAGAAATGTTACAGAGTAAAGCGTTATTACTTTCAAGGCCTCCTTGCGGAAAAGAACCGAAGACGTTTCCAATGCTGTGCTTCTTCCACACAGAAGATCTTAGAGAGCCATCCTCAATGAGGTTTTGTGCCAAATGTTTTGAAATGCTCAATTCCCGTGTGATTTCATTATGAACCTTGCTGGCTTCTGAAGCTTTCTGTGCAGTCAGCGTTTTCAGAGTATCCACAGTTAGAGCAGAGAGATCCTGCAGGTGGCCAATCTGTGAATCTAAAGACTGTAATGACCGTTTTATGTAGTTGACACGATCACCAACTTCCTTTATCTGAATGCACATTTGTTCCACCCTAAGAAAAATCAAATTATGAAGTAGCTATGAAAGGTATTTTTCTCAATACGCGAAAGAAACATCTTTGCAACTCTTTCTGCCTGTTAAAGGAAAAAACCTCTGAAATTTCAAGATGGTATACACTAGAGTGTTGGACTGTTTTATACTACAACATTTGTACATATTTCTGAATTATAGAATTAAAACACATCAACAGAGGGCCTACAGCACTTTTTCAAATATATCAGTTTATTAAAACATCATGAGAAAGTAAATAATACAATTGCCTCAGCTTACTGAGTGCTGCTACAGATCAGGAAGCATCAATCACATGATTAGTTTCTGCATAGCAATGGAAAGACATCATCTAAAGTTTACATAAATACTCATTTTCTTGAGCTGCATTTTACCCCCCTTAATGCACACTCCAAAACCCACAAAAGTTCTAAGCTTCTCTATTCAGAAATTTTATTTGTAAATACTCTACCGTTCAAATGTGACTCGAATCCGCTCCTCACTTCCAGAATGAAATTTGTCATCCTTTTCATTGAAATACATCTCAACACACAGCTCTTCAAAATCATGAAGTTTCTTTTGATCCTCTTCCGTCAGGAAGAGTTCTAAAGAGAGATTAAACAGTTAAGAAGATGCATATGTAGTGCAGCAGTGGAAACTAATAGCCACAACTTTACAAAGGGTGTTAAAAATAAATAAAAAACAAAACAAAACTAACAAAAAACCACTAGTCTGGTTTAGTGCCACCTAAGACCCTCCCTTTCTCCTTGCTAGAAAAGTGTTCACGGATTTCTGCTAAATTAAAAATCAAAATAGTAACCCTGAGAGGATCTCTGCACAATATTATCATTCCTTGTGCTCTGATCCTCCAATCCCATTTTCTCTGAGGTAGAAGCAAGGTTCCTTAGCTGGATTTTATCATCTGTGGAACTTTTTTTTTTTCCCCATTTTAAATTTTCAAAGGGTTTCGAGTAAGAACAGTTTTCCACAAAGAAAAAAAAATGTCTTCCCCCATTAACACTAATAGGGATCTAATCTTGCTTTTGTGGTTTTTTTGTCATAAGTTAGTTTGACCAGAGATTTATAGGGGCTGCACATTATACCCTTCATAAAAACACTGTGATTTTGAACAGAATTAGAGTATTATTCAATACTAAAAACATGGGAAAATTAAGGCCTACTTCGACCTTCTTGAGAATATAGATTATAAACAAGAACATAGCACTTTTTCTGACAGTTTGCTTTAATCATATCAAAAAAGTTACTGCAATTTTTGGATAATAACTCTTCATACTTGGCCCATCTGAAGTCTTGTCTGTCTTCCTTCTTTTACATATACAACAGAACAGGGAAGCCATGTGGCTAAGAATAATAAGTGGTGGAGGCAGAACAGGTTTTTCGTGGTAGGCCATAATGAAATGATAGCGTTGATACTTCCACACAATGTTTGAAATTGCCTTGACTTGTAAATACACGTTGCTGAAAGGGAACAAAAAAGCATTACCAGATTACGGTGGGTTTGGGGGGGGACGGTGATGGTGTTTGGGTTTTTTTTTGTTTGGTTTGGGATATTTTTTTTTAACACTTTGATAACAGTCTTGAATTCTGAAGCTAATTAAGAGACAAAAAGCACATACTTGTCTTTTACGGCACAATTATTTTAGTGGAAGTTGGAAACACATTCAAGAAAACACCATGATCCAAAGCAAGGAGGCAGTTCAAAAATTCTCTCATCTGATAGCATCTCACTACCTTTCCTCAGGAATAAATTACACTGAGATAAAATTTCAAGTTTGCCCAATTTAAAAAAAAAAAAAATTATTTCTAGCTAAACCCGGATTTTTATATCGGACCACGTTAATTCTGCAGGCTGTCATTCTTCGGTGTTAGTGAGCTGCTTATTCCCATAAATCAAACACTTGCAGAGAACTGTAAAAGACAATTTACTCTACTACAATTTAACTCATCCAACTAGAGAATCTTAAATGAATTTAGGAACAACAGTCAATATACAGATCCAGAAACAATTTTGGGGTTTTTATCTGACAAAGAGCAGTTACAAAATGCTTTCAAATTCTCTTAAACTTCTGATTTCCCTGGCCTTATAGATGTGACACATACCAGTCACATTGTACGCTTCCCTTCTTAGTCACAGGCTTGCAGTGAGGAGACAAAGGCCAGCCTTAGAACCCCAAAATACTTCCAGCAAATGGGATTGCTTTGAACTGGCATCAGTTCTTATCTTGTCATCTCATTGCAGTGAAATAGAAACTTATCAAAGGATTAGCAAAAATTAACAATTATCCATATACTTACTTGAAAAATGCAATAAGGAGATTAACCATAATTATGTACTGTACAAAGAGGTAGACAGCTTGAAGAAACGGGGTCAACCATGTTCCTGGGCCACAGAGATGTGCAACTTTTTCATCAGAATTATTTGCACATACTGTGTTGGGGAAAAAAAAAGACACACAGAAAATATGTACAACTTTTAGAACTCCCAGCAGGAAGAGACAGGAAGAAAAAAAAAAAAAGATCACTTACAGAGGCTGCAACAATCAACTATCATGCACTGGTTTTGCAATTCAAAATGTCTCCATGCATTCAGGAATATGGTAGAAAAATACAGGAGACAAGGATTTGTTAATACTATGGTATAATCATATTACCGGATGAAAAATAGCACAATACACCACCACAGCCAAAATTTAGGCATGACAGCTGTGGGGGAAAATTCCAAAATCTTGCTAGGAATAGCCTTGTGAGAAACTGTGATTAAGTTGAGTTTTCATTCTAAGCCATTCAAGCTTTATAAAGAATAATGAAAAAGTTAAGTCAAGAAGTCATACAGCTGCCACCCACAAAGAGGAGACAATCCAACAAATGGAATCAGTGTCAACAACACTAGGCATTTCATTTCATAAAATTAAAATTTCATAAGACCTTGAGAAGATCTTACTACAGTAAATTTTCACCTTACTTGCTTCAAAATTGCAGTGTCTTACCATCAATTTCATAGGCATACACTTCACCAAAAATCATCCAGTATGGATGAAACACAATATCTCTAGCAAGAGTCCAAGACGGTGCCTCATCAGGATACAGTATTGCCTTCCTGGGAACACCAAAGCTAAGTAGTACAAGTGCCATAATCACCACAATGTAAAACATGTTGGCCACCTATTAATACAAAAAAATCAGTTAACCCATAAGGTCATAATTATGATTTCACAACTTTAAACACTTTTACAGTGACACTGTAAGTTTGATGAATTCTATGTATTATGTAAGGAAGAGTCTAAGACACATATTTCAGTCAGAAAATTTTGTTAAACAACAAACCCTGTAAAAAAATATCTGTTTCTTTCTTGTACTTTCTTAAAGCATATTTAGTATCCTCAGCCAAAAGCAACTGAGAGTATTTCCTTTGTAACCCAATTACCTACTATGTGGATGAGTAGCAGCTGATAAAGAGAAACATTCCTTCCCAAATGCACTCAATAGCTGCACAAAAAGCAGATGAGGTTTTCCAAGGGCTGAAACCCAGAACCTATCCGTCTTGCAAGAAATCAAAGTGAGAAATGAGCAACTTGATGCCCTCATTTTTAAGGAATTACAGGGTTCAACTTTGTAGGAACCATTTAATAGGGGGAAGAAAAACGAACACCCCTTCCACCCTCGTATATACAGTTCTCAAGCCTTAAAAACTTTTTTAACATTTAGAATAGCTCACTGAGAGTAAAGCTAAGTTATTTATTTTTAAATTTAAATAGTTTGAATATTTTTTATGTGAGAAGACAAGAATAGAGCCACAATTTATTCCCAGTTTTCCACAGCAAAAAATACCAAGGTGTTTTAGGACACAAAACAAGTTAAGTCTCGCACTACGAGTGCAAAGGCAGGAACACCACAGCTATAAATAAATCTCAGACCCAAAAAGGAAGCCATGCTAGATGAATCAAGAAAAAGGCATCATCATATTCATGCAAGTCTCTGACATCTAAGAACAAAACAGACCAGAGAAGGAAAACTTGCCAGCTTTTTATGGATATGTGACAGAGAAAGCTCCATAATAAAGGAAGCCTTCTAATTAATGTGTTTCAAAACAAGCACAAAGTTATATTCCAGCTAGCTAATTCTGCACACTGAGTTGTTGACATATTACATCAGGATAAGCAACCTTTTTCTGAATAAAACTTTGAGAAAATTTGTAAATGGATGCATCAGGAAAAACATATTTCAGTTGGGAAAAAAAAAACAGTGACAAAAGTAGCACTTACCATTTTCCCAATCATCATAACATAAGGACCAGCCTGTTGATTTACAGCTAGAAAATCCAGTAATCGCACATACCAAAAAATTATATTGAGACAATATGTTATTCTTCCAGCAACAAAACCATAATTTTCTCTGTAGGTGTTTTCGCCAAAATTCCCCTTTGCTCCAAATCTTAATGCAAACCCGATGAAGAAAGTGACAATGGCAACCGTGTCACTGATATTGAAGTAATCACTGAACCACACTTTAATCTTCTGATTAATCTTCCCAGCCTCTGACATAAAAATCTGCAATAAAAATAGAAGTCCGTTCTGCTCACATGTACTGCACGTGGACCAACACTGAAATATATGGATCAGTAACATTTTTATACTTGCAAAAATAAGTTATCTATTCAAATGGATAGCTGTTTTACGCTGAGGAATCAAAACCAGTGTTTAACTGTGTCAGCTTCACAGTAAGGACAAGAAGGATGTATGTTTCTTTCTGTTTAAACAATTTATGAAGGAATTTTGGTTTGGGGGTTTTTTTTGATGTTCATTTTTTTTCTTTTGAGGCAGTTACTGTTACAAAAATGAGCCCTACTTTCTGCCCCTTCAGTTAGGCCTGAGGTACCAGGTTAATGAACTAACTTTCTCTCCTTCATTTAAAAATTCTTACACAACTTCTCAGAAGTCTTTTGCTGACCAGCAATGTTGTAGTTGTAATAGCTATCCTGTCTTGAAAAAGCTGTTTTAGTTTGGCATCCCAGTCGTAGCATAGTGGTAGAGTTTGACTGACACTGATAAATATACATTTCACCTCTCAGAGAAGTGACGTTTTTTATTTCATTGCAACTTGTAGACAGTGAGTTACAGATACAAAAAACAAACAGAAAAGACTAGGATGTCAGTGCCAGTTCCTTGAAATTTAGGAGGAAAAAAAACATCTCCTTTTAATAGACCTCCATCTCTTCCCCATTGGAAACAGAAGAAAAGCAAGTTAAGTTCAAGCAGTAGGCCAAGAAGCCCTGGTATTGAATCTAGCAGCCTACACCAAAGTTTGAGATAAAGGTATTACGTAACTCTGATGCTTGAAGTTTCTTGGGTTCTCTTGTTTATAAACACAGTTTAACGCATACTGTTTTAATTGACAAAGAAAACTAAAACCCCAGATTGTTACAGGCATACCTCACGAATTTTCTCAATTGCTGATGTGAAAATGTAAGCAATAACGATCCACTCTTGAACGGATGGTAATTCTTCCATTTTTACAAGAACCACAAATGTGTACAGCATGAGGAATCCTAAATATGCCAACTAAAAAAAGCAATGAAAATTATACATACAATTACTGAAAGGTTCTTTATAGATGTGCATGCAATCTTTTGATGTGGTATACAATAAAAGGTTCAAGTAGGATTACAGTACTATATTTACACCTTTAAGCAGACAAGTTATCATTTATAAGGGGATACAAACACTTTTTTCTTAGAAGAGGAAAAATGGCTGTAATAAGCTATTATTATTATTAGCAAAGCTTTGTTCTTATTACAGCTATTTTTCCTTTAATACAAATTTTAGAATTTCTATTACAGTAGTTTAAACAAAGCTGCGCATGAACACTTTAACCTAATAAATGATTATAGAATTCCTGCTAGCAACTGATGAAATTAATTACTCAGGCCAGAATAAAATTATTCATGCTAATTACTCTCTTAGCTTTAAAAAAAAAAAAAAAAAAATATTTCTCAAAGCCAACGGCATGAACTCTTAAAAAAATCCCAAACCATGGAGCAGTGCATGTGCACATGCAGTTTTTCAAAATCAAGTACTTCTCATTTGCAACTTAGCAAGGCAAGGGTTTGTTTGTTTGTTTTTAAAAAAGTGCTTAAACTTTGATTCAGGTTACAGAGCTACATGTTTGGAAAAGAACCCAAAAATCCACATTAGATTTCCAAATAAAATACACATTACACAGAATAAAACTCACCGTATTAAACCAAAACTTCACAATTGGTGCATGGTAAAATGCATAAAATTTCTGTGTAATTGGAAGTCTTTTAGGTTTTGCTGGAGTCTCCATATCATGCTTTTCTGAGGTACTGTCCAAGATCCTTACTTCTTTAAACACCTCCTAAAATGAAAGCACTGATAACTTCACATACAGAAATACAATCATTTTAACTCTTGCTTTAATTTAAAAATGTACAGGACAGTTAGAAATACTGTTTTCAATATCTTCCCCTGCCCCACATTACCATAGGTATTTCATCTGCTGCATTCTGGAAGTTGTTTTCACTGTCATCCATTGCCATTTGATGTGCATCTTGAGATTGAGGAATATGTGACATTTCAGCCTTGGTCTTATATTCCAAAAGCAGTATAGCAGGAGGGAGTAAAATACTCAGTATCACCTGGAAAAGATGAAGATTAAGTGTAAATAGTTCACAGCTACATTAAAGTATCAGAATATACCAACACACAGAATATCCTTTGATATTATCCAAATTTCACTTGCTTGTTATTGAAGAAAAAAATGTAGAAAATTATTAGTTGTTATTACTTATATACAGACTTAAGAGGCTAAGATCACATATATAGAGTGTTCCTTGACTTGAAGATACAGGAAAGGGGAAAAACCAACAAATTCCAAAACTACAAGTCACTAGAATGAATGTACTACAAGCCTGAAGATCCAGAGGTGTTGTTTACACTCTGTTCTTTAATCCACTCCTAGAAACTCTGGAACTGTGTACTGTCAAGGCGTATTTAAAAAGCATATATGAGTCAAGGTTGTGGGTTCTGGTTTTTAGGGGGTGGGGAGGGCAGGGGGGTGTTTTGTTTGTTTTGGGGATTTTTTTCAATTTATGGTAGAAAAAAAGAGCTAAGGTATGGATGAAGAGAATAAGCGAAAGCTATTTATTGTCATTAGCCTGTTACAAAGCAAGCAAGAAAATGGTTAATCAGTTATCAAAGAGGATTTTAGTAGATCACAAGTTAAATGATGCTTGTAGATATTTTGTAGGAAAGTTTTATTTCATTATATCCCTAGCAACAATTAGGTTTTGGTACACTATCTCAAAGAAACACACAATTTTGGTTCAATTGATTTACAGCACAAAGGGCACCACTGGAAAACCTATCCCCAATTTGCCTACGCTTGTTTCATTCTGTGCCCTGCTTTTGCTCAGTTTCTTCCTCCAAAATAGGATATACACAAAGCTTTTCAACATCAAGTCTTACGTGCTGCCTGTAAAAAGCCAAATGCATGAAACTATATTCTTACAGCAGGTTTTTTCTGTCTGTTAAGATTTTTTACCACTATGTTTTTAGTAGTGGATTAGTATTCACATGATCTCTTTAAGCCTCTGATGAAAGGCTACTTGCCTGTTTTTTGCCTTCTACATTTCTGTACCTTATTTGAAAAGATAATAGAGTGTCAAAAGAAGAGTTAACAATAAATACTTCTAATTTTGATTATGTTATAGGAGACTGTTTTACAGGATTTATTAACATAAGCTACAGTTGTGAAAGCTTTATACTAATAGCATTTAAACACATGCTTTCCTTCCATTTAAACATAAATTCTGTTGATCAGAATTACACTGCTAAACTGCGACAATGCTTACTTTGTACCATGAATTCTTCCTCATGTTCAGCCTTCCCATCCACATATCTGATAACAACATCTGTGTACAAGTATGTGCTACAAATGGACGAAGCCTTGATGATACTGCTAGCTTCAGACAAGTTGAGTTGCTCCAGTTTTTAAGCTCATAGGTTAGTAATTTCATTGCCATAGTTTCATCTTGTCGGAAGGACTGTTCTAACAGTTCAACTGCCAGTTGACCAAACTCACTAGAATGAAGAAAAACCAACAAAGCAAAATTTCATATCTATAGAAATGACCTTGAGTTTAGGTCGAATTTTCCTGTACAATCAAATTCCCAGTAGCACAACTTGACGGGACTATTACCTGTCCCTTCTGGACAGATATACCGTACAGTAATTTGTAACTACAACATGTGAATCTGTGACTTCTATTAAAAACATATACAGCAATTACGGAAGTGAGCAAATGGCACATTCACTGTCATTTTAACTTAACTATAAATCATGACTTGTAACACTCCTCAGGAGAGCGCAATATCTAATATAAAACTTCTACTAGAGTGCCACTTAATCCTTTTTGCAAAAAGGAATTGTCTTCAAGTGTGCTAATAGAACAGTTTGGGTTTTGTTCATATATAGCCCACTACTTTTACTGTAAATTTCAAGAAAAGAACTTTAACTATATAAATGCAATTTACTTGGAATATTGTTTCAGTTCTTCTGAAGTATCATCAACAAGGTCACTTTGTTTTGCTTCGTATGCCATTGAACGATACACTTTGCAAGCAACTAAGGCTTTCGCCATGGACTCCTCCCCATGCTGCCAGAAGAAGAGGGCCATCTTCTGCCTCTTCATTAACACCGCCCAAAGTAAGAGCTCGTTGAGAGGATAAGCAAAACGTCTTGTCTCAGGATCATCTATGTCTACTATCTCATCTTTGGTTCTTTTCTTTTTTCCCTCTTCTGCACCAGTGTCAATCTTTAAAATAAAATCAGAAAGTTACATTTTAAAACTTGTTCATTACACAACTTGAAATAAAATGCTGAGTGATCGAATATCAAATTATATAGAATTATAAAAAGAAAAAATTCTGCAGACTTAAAAAGCTTGTGGAACGTTTGTTCAAAAACTTCAGTTGAGTCCAATTCATTTTAATGACTGGGGGACTGAATTACTTTAATTTATAGATCAAAAGAAAAGCAGTAACTAATATACCTACATACAAATGAGGAAAGTCATGGAGACACATGGCCAAATCTTGCTCCATCTACAAAGCCATGTGAGTCCCCCCCATTGCTAGAACTGTGCCAAAGATAAGCTTTTTGCTCCCTAACATATCAAAGCTTATCCAGAAGACTAATATACAGAAAGTTAAACACTCTTCAGAGAATCCTGTAAGCATGCTAGACAGTTTATAAACAAGTACAAAAGCAAGGCTGAAATTCCAGCTTTACCAAAGTCAGTAAAACTGCTGCTACTCTCACACTTCAGTGGCACCCGGAATTCAACCAGGTTCTCAATTCTTCACTAATTAAAAATAAACCCAGCCATGTTCCCTTCGCACATCTGTACCTTTGGTTTGTATGGCTGTGCTGTTTTGATGAAGTGATTATGGCGCACTTTTTCTTTCTTGTCTGCCCTGTTACCAAAAGACTCATGGCTTTTACACATCTGAGGAGTAGTATTTGAAGGATTTCGCCCAGATCGCTGTAACAAGAATAAGGGGAAGAGGTTTGTTTTATTCTCTTTACTCTTACCTACTATGCATTATAAAAATCACCTGTTTATAGCTGGACGCTTAATTTGCAATTAAACAGCTACTTTGCTACCAAAACAGTGATGAACTTCTGTAACAGCAACAACCAGAATTTTCACTGGATATTTAACAAGTTTTTTGTGTTTTGTGTTTTGTTTTGTTTTGAAGAAATCACAAAGCAGGCAGCTACTCTTGTTGCTTCACAAGAAGCTAAGATATCTGCATCCCAAGCCCTGGTGAATCTGCACGTTTAGTGCTCGTTCTTCCCCTACGAGTAGGAAAACAGGGAATAACGGAGAAGGAATTTAGATGTGCTAGAATAAGGAGCAAGAGAATAAAATGTTTTGTTTGTCTTCCCCAAAACAGCTACCAGCTGCCCTCATAGGCCTTACTATTGCCTTTAAAAGAACCAGTCCATTGACAAGAATAACAAAACAATATGGATCCAGTTTTCCTCCAAAATACGTAGTTGGTTTTTTAATTGAGAACATATGAATCAGCATGTCCTGTTATCCAAATGCTACATACCCGATTGTTCCCACTGAGACTGTTGTATATAGCTCTAAAGCGTTTTCTTGTATAGGTGCATCTATAGGTTCCTCCCATCAGATATTCAATAACCAGTCCCACATCAATCAGGTTGATTTTATATCCTGGAGGAAGATTTCCCTAGGAACACAAAAGGTATTTTTAGTTTTTCAAATTACAATCTTAAATTTGCTTAAAAGGTTTCTACATGTCATATCACAGCTCTAAATAAAATAAAAAAATAAACCTTTAATGATTAAAAAACCCCCATCTACATGGGTTAATATTTATCAGTTTCAAAAAACACAAGGTTATAGCTGCTTTTCTGTATGTTCTCCCCTCGCAGGGTAGATGCTCATTCTGTTGGGGGGCATGAGTACTGTTTTTTGTCTGTTGTTTTAATAGCCAAAATTACTCCTAGCTGAGAGTATCAGCTTTCAATCCCCCCTAAAGATTAAGAATCACATGTAAGATGAAAAAGACAGCACTCATCGGGGTTTAACATCTTTCTGGCATCAGGGCACTAAGCATACAACAAATATGGGGAACAACAGAATGACTATAGAGATAGTGTATTATTTACAACAAAACCTAATTAATAAAGCTAAGATTAAATTGACAGTAAAACATAAGAAATTATCAAAAAACTACCACTGCTAGTTTGACAGATTTTTACATTTACAGCATACCTGCTTGACATCCCGAACAAGATGAAAGAGCGTTGGGTTAGTTGGACCTTGTTTCTTTATAAAAAGAGGGGGGAAAAAATATTTATAACTATTCAGGTTCACAAAATAAACTACTTTTACAACTGTTATGACAATATTATCTGCTACAGACAGAATTAATCTTATGAAGCCCTAACAATACTATCTCTAGACCTCACATTTTGTGCACAAGTTTCACCCATCTGACTTTCTCTTGTTCTCTTCCCCACTGTGGTTTACACATTTCATACGTTCCGCAACAAGGCTGCAATTTTCCCTTCAGTATCTATCCCCTACATCAGACACAGATGAACATCCTGCTGGCAAACTATTTCTGGTATCATTTCTGAAGAGCCAGAAAGCAGCTGTGGCACTACAAAGCAGCCAGACAGCATGCACTTCTCAACTCTAACCTCACGCCAGGAAGCCTTCTCTATCAACACCCCATGGCGTTCAGACTGGTGCATGTGACCGAGTACACAACACACTGAGCAACTAAAAAGCTGTTCTAAAAGCAGCTTAAAAAGCAATCATTCACTTACAGTGTTATAAAGTTCTTCCAGCCTGGGAATTGTAAGAAATTTGTGCATGCTCACTCCATTTTCAATCAGAAGTTTCACAAATGCAACTCTATCCATCACAAGGGCATCTAACATAGCCTGTTCCAGAGAGCCAACCTGCAACAAATAAGTAACAAGGTACAGCCTGGAGAGAACTAGTAAAACGGGGCATCACAAAAGTAAGTGCACTTAGATTACATATCAAACTCATTCATTTACAGAGCTAGGGAAACCTTCTATGTCTACAGATACAAAGATGTCACCCTTGATTCAGAAAAATCCCCTGAACTTCACACAATTACAGGATGAGAGAATATTTTGAAGAGTTAATCAGCAAGTCTTACACTCTTCCATAGGTATCTCCTGACACAGAACACGGGACTAAGTAGACATTTGGTTTAACACAGTTAAGCTGTTCTCATAGACTGATATTAGATGAAACACAAAGACATAAAATAGTTAAAGGACAATTTGTTTCAAAGACCATGATGCTTAGAACCATCACTGCTATCAACAAGCTTTACATTATGTACTTTCAACTACACACTCATGTAAGATTGTATTTTATTTTTACAGGAATATGGGAAAAAGGCAAGATCCACAATGTAGTTTTGAAACTAATTCGCAGACTGTAAGAAACAGACGTTTTGTCCCCCTCCCCTCAAAAGACACTGTAGTGCTGCCAACAGTAGTTAATATATGCATTTTACTAGATGCTTAAGAACTTCCTATGACCATGCAACTGTAAAGAAGAAAGCATCTGACTAACATGAATTCGGCTTCCACCTTTTGCAATGTCTTTTCTCCTCTAGTTATTATGAACACTTAGCACATATCTAAAATTTTTCGACCATTTTCAACTATACAATAACAAAACAGCTGTAAGACTATGCAGTATGCAAAAATTACTGACCTCAAAATAAATGTGTCAGTATTCTACAGTCTCTCTTTATAAAAATCAAAAGATTCATTCCTTACAGTAAGTTGAGTTTCTCTCTTAGAAAATATTCTGCTTAATCAAGACAATTACATACCAGCCATTGTTGCCCATAAACAAAAACATGATTTTTGGCTATGTCAACTCTATCCCACGCAAGTGTAAGAACAAGCTGGTCAAAAGCAGATGCATTCGTGCCTTAAGAAGCAAAAACAATTAAAAAGTATTTAATGTTAATTAAAATATAACAAACATTCTTTCTTCCTAATAAGGCCATATCAAGCAATCCAGCACATAGTTATACTGTATATTTCATCATTTATGACACGTTATGGTATATACAATGAGAAAACAGTATTATTTGCTTAAAAAAGGTTCCTATAGTTTACAGTATTTTATAAATAATACATCATATACACAGTAAACAACAATAGCTGGAGATTCCAAATGCTCTTAAAATTAAGTCTCACCTTTTAACAATGCTGTAAGTATCGCAACATCAATGTCCTGATGTTCATCTGACCCAATATGAAAAACTGTAATCTGTCCAAAACAGTAAAATAGGGAAAACGTATTTTAAAGTTATTTTCAGGCAAAGGTGATTGGCTCCAGTCTTTTACATCAGGAATTGAAATACATTAAAAAGTCACCTTATCTTCGATGCAATTTAAGCCTACGCTCGATTTATACCTACCTTTAGTGTGCACTTTGTATTGTTGTCCTAACTGGGAGGCACACAAGACAATCTTTTATGAGAAAAAGCATAGCAGACAGCCTTTACACTCTTCAATCAGTTTGAACTTCTTTTCCCACTCTGATTACAATTCTCTATTGTCTGTAAACACCACACAGTATTCTGTTTGCCTCTCCAGTTCATTCTACATTATGAGATTAACTGCCAGCAAACATGTTTAGCCAAATACGACAGTTTTAAACCTTAGAACAGCACAATATCATGTCCAAATGAGACACCAGTACCTGAACCCAGGCTACATATAAAGTTTTATAAAGCGCCTTTGCTTTAAGCATGCAGTGGTAATAGACCTTTGTTAGTACAGTCATAATTAAAAGACTAAAAAAAAGTGAAAAAAAAAGTCCCAAGAAATACAAAATACATACACGCTATAAATAAACCAAACAGACTTGGAAACAATGACAAACTCAGATTACCAGAAATAACCACAAGAATTAAGTCTGTCTTGGCCATGAGACAAAGTATACACAAAACCTGTATTTGACTCTCTTCTGTAACTGGAAGATCCACTATGTCCAGAAAAGATTTTGAATGACTCGATCATAAATAACACTGAGATACAATTTAACATTATATCCACATGCACCTTGCATAAAAAATTTTTATGGCAAGATCTACTTACAAGTTCTTTTTTTTTCATGCATTCCAGCAGTGTCTGAAACAAATGAACTGCTTCACTTTGACCAAAGTTAAATGTCTTTTTGATGGTTGAAATGATTTCAGGCTCAGCACCCTCAGGAACATTCCTGAGATTGAAACAAACAGGAAAACACACTGTTTTACATGAACAGTAAAAACAACAATGCATTTAATTAGTTTCAACATGTCCATTCAAAGTCCTGCTATCTGTAAGCATATTACTGTTTCAGTGTCAAAATCTTGGGTAACCTTTAGAAAAAAGTACAGGTTGCTTAATCTACGATCTTCTACTACTGCCTCCTAAAAGTAACTCAGCTTGTCTCCCTTTCCTTCCCATATCCATTTCTGAGATACTCTCAACTAAAAGGTTTTGACACAGAATACTATGTACTCACCCCCCTGAATAAGACCTGCTTCTGATCTGTTTGGTTTACTGCTACGTTAGATCCCTGCCTCCTGGTTCTGAGGCAATCCCTGCAACAAGGACCCAATATGTTCAAGGATTTATGTAAGTCTGACAACAAACTAGAAATCACTAAGTATTCTGGAGCCCAAGCTCCAGCCCTTTTATTATTTGAAACTACACTTGAAACACACAAGTGTTTTCTACACTGAACAGACATATGTAGTAAGTTCAGTTTTAAGACTACTCAGAAGAAACAATATAGAAACTCTTTATGATCACTTTTCAAGAAAAGTTACCACTATGCAACAGCTAACTGCATGAAAATATTTCCATTCAATGGAGCCAAGTGGTATTTTTGAACAGTTTGGTAATACACTATTCTCTATATTATTCTCACATCTCTGGAAGGTCTGGTCAGCTCTGACATATGTTGAGCAAAACTCTGTTGTGCACACTTAAGAACAGTCACAATTATCATTTAAGTTACTGTGGCTTAGTTAAAATTTGAAGTTGAAGCGGACAGAGCATTTAAACTGAGTTGGGTCCTCTAGTTACAATGGTGTAACAGAATTACAGCACATAAGTGAAGTTACACATGACATGTTTCCCTTACTTCAGGATATTGGTGTGTACACTTTTCCTATGCTTTTTGTAAGTATGGCTAAAGCAAGCATACACTACAGAATTTGGTGCAACTGGTACAAGGTATGAGGGAGAAACCTAAAACTAGAAAAGAAGTCTTGGTCTTTAGCCAGAACTATTACTGCAGCCAACCTGGAAAGCTACATCACAGGCAAGATTACACTGTCTGCTTTTAGCTTTTGTCTTTCCACAGATAAAGCTCTTGCACAAATTCATTAAGGAATGGTCTCAAAACCCATCTATGTATGACTGATAGTTTGGCTAGAAGTGCCAGGACTTACCCTCCCTCCTCTGTTTGCTTGTGAACATACGCCAATATGTCTGCAGCTCTACCAGTTCCTTCACATACTACCACCGGCACAGGAGGACTTTCTTGAAGGAAGTCTAAAACTGTGAGTATGACGTTGGGGCCACCTTCGAATACAAGTGCCACCACAGGCACACCTTGGCCAATTCCTATAAAGTTGCAATTAAGTAATAAAAACCAGACAATGTTGTAAGAGTATAGGGAAAAGATTGATTTTACATATTTAATTAATCAAGTATGTCCCTTCTATTGAGTAAATATTAAAATGCTGCCTGCCAGACATTTTAACCATTGTGAATACACGGTTTCAAGCACTGTTTATACTTTGAGCTAGAAGGAAAGCACTGCAACGAAGCTGATAAATATAATGGAATACAGTCTACAAAACAGAAGAGATTCTTCACAGAAATACTCCTGAAGTAATGTAGAAAAGTGAACATCTCTTCTTTAGATAAGTCCCCTTCTACCTTCCCCCCAAAGAGTTTCCAAAGATGACAACATGTATACAATTTGAACATAGTTACATGGAAACCCTCTACTGACAGGGAGTATTGCAAAAGCATTCCTAGAAGAGAAAAAACACAGATGTGTTGCTCCATAATTGGGAAAACACCAAAAGAAGTCACGGCTTCTTTGCACAAACACAGATGATGTTTTACAAAATCAATCGCCCTATTGTGAAACGGCAAGTGATCAGTGTCAAACCCATGAATCAATCAGACCAGTAAGGCCTGACAACATACTAGTAACTCAAGTGAGATACGTTTGCTTTGTCGAAGCAAAATTGACAACTTTATTCAAAAGAACTCTTCCCTCTGGTCCTAGAGAAATCCTAAATCTCCCAGCAATATCTAGGGTCCAAAGCAGCAGCTGAAATTTGCAAAATAGTTATTCAGACTTGAGACATAAACAAAACACTAGTTTTACTACTTTCTCATTTGGATGTTTGGTTCAAGTACCTTTGTCATTAAAGCAAAGTAAAACTCAGCCCTCAGGGATCAGAATTACTTACTTGCATGGATCCGTTGCAAATTAATAGTTTTTTCCAGTTCTCTCCGCAATTTAACTTCTGCTCCATACTTTCCAACTGTTCCATCATCCACCAGAATGAAATGGGAATGGAGGTTATTTAGGACGTTTAGTTTACTTAATGGGTTTAACAAGGTTTGATATGGAGCAACCACCTAAGTATAAGCACACAACAACGTCTTTTACATATACAGATTCAAATTTGTTTCTGTGAAACTTAACTTTTTGTCTAGACACAAGAATTGATGGCTCAACAACAAGCACAACAACTTTAAAAAGGTTTCTTTGAGGAAAACTTGTGACTGCTCTGGCAAACAGTAGCATTGAAGACTCTGCATCAAATTTTTTCAACTTATTGTCCTCTGTAAACATGGATTTTCTGTAATACTTCAGTATTTTTTTTATCTGATTCAGCAGTATCAGTAGGGGGGGAAACGGATTAAGTACTTGAGAACAAGCTCCTCCTCTAGTACATTAGCATTTTGCAACTTGTTTACACTAATTATCTCAGATGAGTCACAGACTTAAACGTATCTTCATATTAAAGCAAGTACTCCAATGATGCAAAGCAAGTGAAAAAACACGCTTGAGCAGATTTGTCAAAAAATACGTCAGGGAAATCATTATTTCAATTAGGTCATTTATCCTTACATCTCTTCCAACAAGGTCATTTCTGTTTTCAATCACTCCCCACGGAGCAATCCCAATAGTGCAAATCTTTCGAGATGATCTGGAAGCATGTTCTCTTAAAGCATCACCAACATGTTTTGCAACACCTGTTTGTGCACAAAAAGATTTCAATGTCTTGAATGTCGCATCTTATTAAGAAATACAACTATTAAATTAGTTAACTGGGCCTTTAAGGATCTGGGAAGTAATTTGACACAACATGAAAGAAAAAGCACCATTCTACATATACCAGAAGGAAACCAAGTACTATATATCACTAATTCAACAAAATAAATATCAGTCTAGTAAGAACTAAAGAGTTTCCAGTACATTACTGTACTTGTTTTAACCACATTAAGTTTCTCCTCTTGCAGTTTCAAAAACACAAAACAAACAAAACCACAAAAAAAACCCAAACCAAACCAAACAAAAGGCCCCACAACCCAAAAAACCCTACCTTTGTGTTGTTTCTCTTTGCAAGACAAAACAGCAGCCCACTTCCAACTCCATGTGTTCAAAATGCATTATTATAATTTCACTTGACCAAACTCAGTCAAATCTTCCTTAAGATGAAGCTATGCATCCATTAAATCTTTTGGCTCTTATAAACCATAATCCAGTTAACATTCATTGGTATTTCTTTACCTGTGTTCACTCCTCCAGTTATAATCCAGGCTCCTGTTGTTACTGCAGCTTTAATAAGACCTTTGCCAAGCAACTGTTTGATGCGTGGGTGAAGTTCAAATTTCTGCATGCCCCCATGTACAGATATAACAAGCTTCGGCAACTCCATCTGCCATTCTTTAAGCATAAGTTGCAGAATAGCTTCAGGCTTAGTGTCATACGACAATCGCACATACTGCAGGCACAAGAAAAGTGTTAAAAAGTTCGTAAAAGAAATCATCACAGAATCAATGAGTAAAAAGAAGAACCAGGATGTACTTCAGGATATATTATCCTACTCCTGGCTATGAAAAATTTAATTCACCTTCTCAAAACAGAGGAGATGCAATAAATGAACAAGCTTAATTTATGTCCTCCAGAATTAAGGGCAAGACAGTTAACAATTTTGAAAGTAAGTTTTGGAAAGGCAACGACTACAGAAAGATTATGTTATTCCATCCTACTGGCACAGTGACCTAGAAAAGTGAGTCTTTAGGAAAGCACTGGATGATCTCTAAATTAGATGAAATTCAGGAATATTTATAAAAGTTCTGCCATCTACTGGGGAGAGGCTTGCACGTCTTTTGTGAAAAAGTTTTACAGACAGTTGCTTGCTTTTCTTCCTCTATTCCTGGTGGGAAGGAAAGCTACATTCTTTAATAGAAAACTTCAAAACTAGCAGCTTTTTAACTTGCTATGTTTAACAGCATAAGATTAAGTATATGGTTCATCAGCTGCATCTTTAATACCAGCTATTCAATAAGCCCTACCTAAAACAAGTTCTAACTTAAAAAACATCACTATTCCAATAAACTGGTTTTAGCAACCCCATTAGCACTCTGCAGAAGTAAGCACAGAAATGGGTACAGACAGCTTGTTATTTCTGTACTCCTAGAAAAGGATTTGCAGCAATTTTAAGCTATACTAAGCATACAAAGGAACACATACACTGC